CGCTTAAAAGTTTCTCCGAAATCTATTAAAATATAAAATACTTCTCTCAAAAAGTTATATAAGGAAGAACAAGTCAGTTGGAATTGGACGATGGACAGCCGCCATTTGCACTGCAGTGTAGATATGATTTCCTACCCTGGTTTTGGCATGGTGTTGCCCGAAGTCAAAAACCTTGACAGAACTTCACTTATTGAATTTGGAAAATCAAATTTGCCGATCCTGCAGGTCGACACACGGGTAATAAACTTCTCATAGAAATTTACATATTATTTTGTTTTTAACAGTTATATACCTACCCCACCGACCAGAACTTGTAAGTTTAAAACTAATTGTTGAATTTAACTCTATCGCTGTATTCTTTAAATGTATTTAACAGGTTGTTGGAACGACCTTTCTGACTGGCATCCGAGAAATGGGCAAAGGCCTATTCGCAAAGGTGTGTTACGGAGTTGTAGTCAGTGCAGTAGCTATTGTGCTGATTTTTGCTAGTATTGTCATACTGGTACTCTTACTCACGGCTATTGCACCTTTGCTACTTGTATTGACTTCTTATGCACTGTTGCTGAAACTTCTGACTACCATGGTATTTCTGCCGATGTTTCTAGTATGGATAATCGTCAGTGTCATTGTAATTTATATTGTTATTCATTTGAAACGTTCACATATCATATGATGTTTTCATACATTAACAATTTTCACATAACTTATATTATTATGGTATAAACTAATTGTATATACTCCAAGCAGCGGTACACCACAGCCATGGTGCGTAACCCGTCTTATACAACTTGGAACACAAACTATATAATTTTGTAAATATTTATAGTTTGATTTTGTATTTCACAAGTTTACTGGTTTGTTTTTTTATGCAAATATATTTTTTAGTAATATCGCATGTTATCGGATCGTTTTTATTAATACCGCTATACAACAGAACATATGCAGTGAAGCTATTTTTAGGTACCGTCGACAATTACTTTTAACTTCAACTCAATACTTTTACTGACATTTGAAAAAAACGCTTTTACATTCGCCCCGCTTAACCCTGTATCACGTGGTGGCGGTTAGGTTAGTATTAAAACCGTAAATTAAAAAACATCTTGCCGTGTTTATATTAAAGATTTGAGTAGAAAACAACTCTAAGCAAACGAAACTCGATTTGTTACAACAACTTTTTTAAATCGTTGTTTACCCAAAGTAATTGCTTTTGCAGTGTATGTCACAATATTCTTTCAGCTGTGCGGTAGTACGCGACGGCCCATGATCTTAAGATTGTCTTAAGATACGTCATAGTAATATTATTATAAGGAAATATTGTTTAGAGGACGACGCACAGTGTTTTCAATCTTATCGTAGCTGGCCAAAAATAGAATTTTACTATAATTTGATATTATTTTTAAGTATAATTATTGTACACTTCATAAGTTTTAGAAATCGAAATTACCACTTGATAACGTTTTATTGACTTTTATACTACGCGTATACTGCATAACTATATCACAAAAATGTAGAAATCGTTTATCACTTTTTTGGAAATACTCATTAGACGTTGTGAGATTATTATTTTTATTTACCGTACTAGAATTTTTTTTTATTTTTCAAAAAATGGAGATCAATAAAATTGGTAAAGCGTTGACTAAAATTACGATTTTGAGCGACGCGGTGCATATATTAGTGTTATTTATGAAAGGGTAATTGTTTATATAATGTAAAACGCAGTATTAAAACCTATGTTTCTTAAATCAAATAGCATGGCAAAAAAAATTAGGGATTATTAGAGGTTGTAACTTAATATGGTCATGTTCTAAATTTTCTCCTCTATAAAATCTACTAAATTAGAAATGCCGCATCTCGCCGCTTTTGGAAAATAATGACATAAATAAATGAAATGTGATAGTAATTTTAAATTTTTTCTGTAATATTAGATGAATGTAATCAAAAGAAGTCCTTAATAAAAAATGGAGATTTGTTTGATGTTTTGCGGGTTCGAGGTACCTTAACATTAGTTAACGAATTACAAAATATTCTCTGTCAATACATAAAAAATAATCTGTACGGTTGTAACAATATAAAACTGCAATGGGACCAGATAGCAGATAATTTTGAAAGATATCTTGAGCAAAAGCTCTTAGGATTTTGTAGCACGGTAAAATCAAAATGGAATGCATCTAATCGTACCTTAAAAACTTTTTTAAATAATAAGAGTGGTTGGAACTAGAATTTAACTTTAAAAAAAGAAATATTATGAACATTAGAAAAATAATATATTATAAACATTATATAACGAATTTTGACCAGCTAAAATAGCTGATCGATTTTTCAAAAACAAATCGTTGTATACGTTAACTCGTCACCGGTCTTGTGCAAGTACTTATATACTTGAAAATATATACACAGGTCTACGTACAAGTCTGCGCGGTGTCTGGCTGACAAAATATATTATGTATTATTGGATCACGTGTGCCGCGGTGTGCTCATCCGCCGTCAATCGTCGCTCAAGTCAATTGTTTTTCAAGACGGTATACTTACAAGTCAATCCGTCAAACGTCTTGCCGGAGGCCTCCGGTTTCGGTAAACGTTACTATATTGCCAACACGTGTTGTGATTCACAACCGCCTTGGGTAAACCAAAAAGTAGTGAGACCGGTGCCCTTTGGTCGTTTTAGAGTCGGTGCTGTAGTTTATTGAGGTACTAGTGTTTATTTTTTTTTAATTTAACCCAATTATTCCAAAAGTAGTTGAGCCAGTTACAATATTTTTTTTTTTTTTTTTTTAAGTTGATGACTTATTTCTCTTCACACATATCTATTGGTCCGAAAACGGGATAGGGATACAAAACACGTTTTAACTCCTCGTCATGTCTTCTTAAAGATAACTTCTCCGTTTATTCCAAATTTAGACTTAAAGTACGCTTATTATAAAAAAAAACAGTTACGGAAGATTTACCTTAAAATAAAAAAATATCCTCCTGCCTTGGTAGCAAAGCTAAAACAAATGTAGTAAATAATTAAATATTAAACAAACATAATGATGTATACATTAGAGTTGTTAGTGCATTATGATAAAGACCTCTGTGGTAAAATGTATTTAAATAATTTTATTGGCAAATATTACAATAATGTCGATAAGCGAGTATGCGTGCTAGTAGATAAGCTTAATTGTGTTACAATAGATTAGACAAAGTGATACAGCACACATTGAGGAAGACCACTTTTGTAAAATTACATCTACAAAATAAATTTTGATTGAAAATTGCACATAGAAGTATGAGCGTTCAACAGTTTAAAATCGCCATTTATACAAAATGTGTGACTGTTTCATTTTAATCCATTGTTGTTTATGAATAACTATTGTGATAGTCAAATTATTCAAGTTAGATGTTTTTAACAACACTTAGTTGATTGGTGTTGATTAGACATGTATGTTTTAAATTTCCATGATGAAATTTTTTAATATTGACATTTGGCAGTTTTGAGAATTATTTATTTTATTCACACAAAACGACGGTATTAGAATAATATTTCAATATGATTGGTACGAAGGTAGCAATTTTTTTTAAGTAATTGCTTTTGTAATTACACATTATCCAAAAAAAAAAAAAAATTTATTTTGTCTCGAATATTTTTCTGTGGTGACTTTCTTTATATTCGAACTTCTTAGAGTGATAATAGTATAAGTCTGACCACAATATAGTACATTTAGGCAAAGATTATTTATAATTGTTTCAAATTTAATTTAGCACTGTGTGCTTGTATGTCGCATTAATATCACATGCATTTTTAACTTTCATAATGCTATGATGTATATTTTGAAAGCCATTTGTTATTAGCAGCCAATTCAGTTATATACATATTTTGGGAACCAATCATTTTTATTTACATGTCAGTATATGTTGCCTAAGTACATAACTCCTTATCCCTAATCCAATATTGATTATAATACTCAATGAGATAGCATGCAAAACAAATATAATAATATCCCAAACGACAGTATTAGTCAATAATGACCATTCTCGCCACTTTAGCTTAACGTTGAACTTTGAAATATAGTCTGGCATTAATTTTAGTAATTTGGAAAACTAATGTTTTCTTTATTTTCAAACTGACTAGATATAATATATGTGTATACATTTTTCAGCTAATTATGAATAAAACATTTTTTAGCGAGAAATTGATCCCAGCGTCAGTGTCACACCAGCCGAAGAAACCAGAAGGGACGATCATTTAACTGTTTATTTTTAATCAATTATTGTTTCTTGTATTAAATTTATAATATATTTTTACTTTTATTCTTCCGTTATAAAACATTTATATATATATATATTTTTTTTTTTTTATGTGTAATGTGTGTGATAAGATCAAAATTATATCTGTAAGGTATTTATTATTGTTGTACATAGTAGTTCATTGGCACAACTGGCTTTAAAACATACTCCCCTATGTTTTTTGTGTATAAATAAATATTTTATTATTGTATAAACAGTAAAAAAAACAATTTTTTGTTTGAATTCTCGATTATCAGACGTTCTTATATTTTTTCAGATATTTTTATACTTATGTTTAATTGTACAGACTGAAGAATACTGGGCCAGGGCAACGCCAAGTACAATATTTAGACAACAAAATACTTTTTAATATGTACTATTCGAAATTCTCCTATGATTAAAGGTATGGAATTAGTATCAATACATTTCATATTGATTTATTTTCTCGTTCAATTATTGATAACAGTTTTAATTTAAATAAAACAGTACTACAGTTAACTAGTTTGTGTGAAATATCCAAAGACCTACGATTAGATGTATATATTGTATATATGTATTAATTATTGTAATCAAATTATTGTCATTATTCGGATCGTCAAGGCGCCGGTATCATAGAAACCATGGTTTGTTTCATTATGCAACATAGTTTGTCTTAGTTGTGTTTTCACATATCATAAATTATTCTCATAATAAATAAATTGTTTATTCTTTGTTTTTATTCATTTTTACCTGTAATAAAAATGAGTGACATCAAGTCTTTCGAGGGACACCTCGCCGAAAAGAAGCCAGCGTTGTCTGGAAAACGTGGAAGGTCGGTTGATGATTAACTCTGAAAATTATGAAAACAAATGTTTTGGTTTTTCTTATATGTTTGCAGATCCAACGACGACAGTGTACCGGACTTTTCGCTTCCGCCGCCGTTTAAAATGCAAAAAATTGAAGACCCGCATGCTTCTTGCACGGCTACCATTGCTGAACTCAGAGAACAAATAGCTAAGATGCAACAAACGTCGAAGCAAAAAGATGCGCAAATTTTTATGAAAGATAAATTGGTAAGTAGAAATTTACACCGGCTCCGGTAGGGCTCGAACGAACGAAGGAGATTCCATCCTGAATTTTTCTTTTCTTTGATAGATTTTCGTTCTGAAAGCAAAACGTTTCGCCGCCGAAACTGAGCTTCGCAAAAAGATGGACTCCGAAAAAAAAGTTCATAACAGGAAAGCGGAAATGTTAACGAATAAAGTCCAAACACTACAAAACGAAGTTGACGCTTTGACCAAAAGCAACCACAAACTGAGTGGAAAGTGTGGCGGCAAGGCGAAATAAATTCCATATGGGTAGCTACTACCAACTTTATATTTGTTTACGGCGTGGTGGTAAACGTAAAATATTTGGTAACCATGTATTTATTTTGTAGTGATATTTATATATACTAATATGTAAATATCGTAAAAAGGATTACACTTTGAATATAAATTCAATGTGTAATCCTTTTTCTTGTACACATGTTAACCTTGTATAATATTTTGTGATATAAATAATTTTGTGTTTTTATGTTTTGTATATAATTATTTTCAATTATTTAATTATGTTGTACTTGTGACTGTGTGATGTTGTACTTCAAACTTTGTTAAAATGTAAAATTTATTAATATGTATTAAATGAATTTGTATTGTTATAACCTATCTAATATTGTCATGCTGTGTAAAAAAATAAATTATGTGATTTGAAAATGAAAGTTATTTTTCGGTCGCTATTAGATATCTTAGGAGAATAAGTATAGATCATTTTTTTTTTTAAATAATCGATGAAATCTTTTGATAATAGTATATTGCCGCCGCGACGGGCTGGTGAGCTTTCCGCGCGCGCCGCGGCCTGGTCGCGCCGACCGCCTGCCCCGTCGCGTTGTCCCAGCCGGGCGTCCCGCCACGTGCCGCCGCCTATGGGAACGCAAAATTACCGTATATTATTGAAAATTATTTGTAAAACGGACACACTGTGATAGCCGTTATTTACCTTAAAAAAAAAACTTTGGAAAACAATTTTTTTTTTGAGAACAAACGATCGTCTAAACGGATAACATCGAATTGAATCCATCCTACTTTTAGTTATTTGAATTGAGTCCAGTTTATTATCTTAATATGTTTGATTTTATTACGTAGATAAGATCGTAAGCGTAGTCTCCTTTGCTATTATTAGTAGGGAATTTGGACGGACTATATTGAATTAAGTCCCGAAAAATGGTGTTGGTAAAGTAAAGCTGGTGGCGAAAAATTCAGAAGTTGGGTCTGTCTAAGGAATATAAGTCTAATTCGGAGAAAAGTAGATATCTCAAGTACTTTTTCGGATTGCCATTTTCAAACGAAAATGACGTAGTTGAATGTTTCACGGAAGATTTGATGGTGAACCATGTGATGTGATTTGAATTGACAGTTTCACAGATTACATTTTAGATGATTACATTGACAATGAAGTTGGACAGTTTCCCCTTAAAAATTCGGTGTGATTTTTCAGCAAGCACTAATCGGACAACTAACAGTTGTGAACGTTTTCATACAAAGTTAAATGCATTGTTTCACTGGGGACATCCGAAATTTTTTTTATTCTTGTTGGCACTCTTCTGGGCATACAGTCAGATACCTACATAAAAATACGAAGCAATGCAACAAAACCATGTAAAAAAAACATTGGAAAAAGAACCATTTTTTACGGGAGCAGATTATCAAACATCAACAAAAACAATTAGTAGATTTGACTATGTGAAATCGGTTTAATTTTAATTTTTACCAGCAACTATTTAAATTTTGACATTATTTTAATTATTTTTAAAAATTATTAAAATTGAAAAAAAATTTTTTTAACCATTTATAAACAGTGTACACAAGCACACATTTTTTGGGAGACTAATCAGTCAAACTCCATGTGGTGTCTCCTGGATAACGCTAATAGACTGAAGGCTCAACTCAAAAAACCAAAAAATTTTTACTTTTGGTCAATGTATTTTATTTTATATTTTTTTTTTTTAGTATCTTCAGGGTTGTAAGCCCCGTTAAGGATCTATGCTGTAGTTTTATGGGGTGTTTATTATCTCATGTTTTTTTTATAGCGGTTTAAATTGATGAGAACAATTTTCATTTTTGAAATAGCGGGTTTTTAGGGGTTTTTGTCGATTTTAAAATTTATTTTCTCAAAAACTTGATGTGCTATGACAATATTTTAAACACACATTTGGATTGCTCGCGAAAAAAAAATCTATCGGACAATGTTGGTGATTCATCGTTTGCACAAAACTCACCAAAATATAACAACAACGCCTAGTTATTCACAAGTAATATTGTCCTTTATCTTTTTTATTGTAGGCGTTTTAAAATCACTTTGACAGGCAAGGTATAATACTACATCTATTAACCAACTTATTTGAAAGGGGTACATTTATCAACATGTTTTTGCAATTGAAAAGATCATCGACGAAATGATCTCAAATGTGTAATTAACACTAAAAATTGCGCCGTTCAAATGGAATAATTTAGGTGTTATATTTTCAGTTACAGAGTGTACCACTTTGGTCATTAAAAAAAAGGGTTAAATAAAGTAACTGTGTTTATTTATACACATACTGTCACTACTTAATCGATTTGTAAATCAAGATATGATGCTGTTACTTAGGCTAAGTGTAACTTGGCTAAAGTCTTTATTGAGATTGTACGTCACTCTGGATCCAGGGATCACTGATACTCATCTTTGCTACCTATTTAGTCTATTATTATAGTTTTATTATCTCAACATCTAAATTATAAAGAAACAAATGTATGACTTTATGCATTATAATTACTATAATATAAGATCACACATGTTGCAACATTAGACCGGAATGGTATGTTCAGCAATTTTAATAACAATCAACATGCTCTCTGTGGATTTTAATAAATGTATACTAACTTTAAATGATCAAATATTAAAAGATCTAAACCCCTTAAGTTGTAAAACATGATGTGTCCTGGCCCAGAAGTAATGCCAAGTATATTTAGACAACAAAATACTTTAATATGTACTATTCGAAATTCTCCTATGATTAGAGGTATGGAATTAGTCGATACATTTCATATTGATTTATTTTCACGTTCGACTATTGATGACAGCTTTAATTTAAATAAAATAGTACTACATTTAAATAGTTTGTGTGAAATATCCAAAGACCTACGATTAGATGTATATTTTGTATATATTGATAATTATTGTAATCGAATTATTGTCATTATTCGGATCGCCAAGGCGCCGGTGTCTTAGGAACCACGGTTTGTTACATATTAAGCAACTCCGTTATTCTTGGTTGTGTTTTCACATATTATAAATTGTTCGCATAATATATAAATTGTGTATCCTTTGTTTTTTCATTTTTACCTATAATAAAAATGAGTGACATCAAGTTTTTCGAGGGACACCTCGCTGAAGCGAAGCCAGCGTTGTCTGGAAAACGTGGAAGGTCGGTTGATGATTAACTCTGAAAATAATGAAAAAAATTTAATTTGGTTTTTCTCATATGTTTGCAGATCCGACGACGGTGGACCGGATTATTCGCTTCCGCCGCCGTTTAAAATGCACAAACCCGTCGACCCACATGCCTCTTGCACGGCTACCATTGCTGAACTAAGAGAACAATTAGCTAAGATGCAACAGTCATCAAAGCAAAAAGATGCGCAAATTTTGACCAAAAACAAATTGGTAAGTAGAAATTTACAGCGCTCCGGTTAGGGCTCGAACGAACGAGGGAGATTCTTTTGTGAAATACCCTGAATTTTTTTTTGTTGATAGATTTTTGATCTGAGAGAAAAACGTTTCGCCGCCGAAACTGAGCTGCGCAAAAAGATGGACTCTGATAAAAAAGGCTACAATAGGCATGTGGAAATGTTGACGAGTAAAGTCCAAACACTACAAAAGGAAGTTGACGCTTTGTCAAAGCTATGTCGCAAGCGGAATGCTGCTGCAAAGTCCGGCGATAAGGCGAAATAAATTCCATAGTAGGTTACTATGAGTTGTACTATTAAGGTAGTACCCTATTTTATAGTGTCTACCAACGTTATATTGTTTTCTACTTAGATGTACAAGTCCACCATAGTCTGTTACGTGGCCGCCCAAGCTGTCGATATCCGGATGTCCTAGTATGTAGTATTAAGTTAAACTTAAGTGTTTCCGGGTCGACATTGGATGCATAAGTCCACCGCAGTCTGTTACGTGGCCGCCCAAGCTGTCGATATCCGGATGTCCTAGTCCTACAAACTAGGACTTAAGATTAACTTAATACTACATATTAAGTTGAACTTAAGTGTTCCCGGATCGACATTGGCGTGTCTTTATTTTCTTATACCCATGTTAACTTTGTATAATGGCTCGTACTATAAATAATATTTTGTATGATTTGTATTTAATATTTTCAATTGTTTAATTTGTACTTAATATTTTGAATGTCAATCTTGTTGTAAACCTGTACTATAAATAATATCTTATGTTTTTATGATTTGTAATTCATATTTTCAATTGTGGGCTTTTTTTTTTGCTGTATACACTGTAACTTATTTAAAACTAGACCAATTCCTTCGAATAGGAACTCTATAAATCACAAATTATGTCTAGTTTGTACTTTGGGGAAGTAAAAGTTGAAAAAGTTTAATTCTTCACAGAAGTTGAAAAAACAAAAAAAAAACCGTTCGAGTTTTTAAGTTAGAACTTTTACTGGCTATAGTTCCAAGAAAAAGAGTCAGATTAAGTTGAAATGTATAAGAAATAATTATTTGGTATGCCCGCACACGTCAGTTGTGTCAAATTTAAACTATACTCATTTTCCACCCCCCTAGGGGGGGTACAAGTTTTTTTGTTTTTCGGGGTTTTTAGCCGTAATTTTAAAACTTTTGGGTTGAAAATTTGCCAGTAGTTGGAACTCATATGTATCTATAACATATAAAACGAAAAAAAATTCGGCACTACAGTTTTTTTTTAATTGCCGGGAAACTGTGTTTTCGCAGGTTTCGTATATTTTAACAAAAACACCTAAAATCTTTAAAAAAAATTGATCAAATCATTCAAATCAAACACAATTACTATTAGATACTATTAGGTTTTGTGCTCAAGTACCACTTTTGACTTAAAGTTTACACAAATTCAATTTTTTTTTTTTTTTTTTAACTAAAAACCCGGTGTACCAGATGGGAGAAACGAACAGACACTAAAAACTATCAGTTGGTAACGCCTATCCGTGTTAGATTAGGTTAGGGCCCAATGATCGGTATCATAATATTGTGTTTATTACATGATATCACAGACGACTAAAT